TGTGTGTGTGTGTGTGTGTGTGTGTGTGTGTATAATTATGATTTTTTTTCCCCCAAACCATTATGTTCGACAGATAGAAATAAATAAAGACTGAAAATTAAACTACAATTACTAAATAAAACTTATTATTATTAAGTTTTTATAAAAAATATTATCATAAAATGTCATAGTCAACATTCCTGTGCTTTATGCCTAGAACAATATTATATAATAATAAAAAATTATCAATATGTTTTTTTTCCCCAAAACAGAGTGGAACTATTAAGCTTGACAAAGCCAAAAATAAAATACTAATAAAGAATGTAAATTACATTTTACTAAATAAAATGTCGTAATTTAATAATAAAACTGTATTATTGTTATTATTATAAAGATATACGTTTTAAGGGGGAAATGTCACAGCATAACAGGGTTGAACAGACAGTGCAGAGGAAAATAAAAATGCTGCAGTTAAATTATTTTAAAAACAAAAATACATTTTAATTTTAACAAAGGCAAAATGTATGTACAGTTCATCTTTATACATGGAATTTGGCTTCTTTTTTTTGCATTGCAAATTTTAGGTTTTAGAACTCAAATATTATTTAAAACCCTAAATGCATAGTTTTACTTAATCTAAATTTGTAGCGGTAAATATATGTATAGTTATAAATATGAATATCCATAACCACAAGTATAAGGGGACATTCACCCCGATTGCGTTTTTCCAGTTAAAAATGTGAGACACGGGAGAGTAGAAGAAGAGGAAAGAAAAAAAACACAAGTGTAAAAACGAGTGTAAAGATGAAGTTGAGCTTCTTCTAAATGCCACGTTTTTAGAACAGCGTGTCATGCGTGAGATGCTGCATCAGACACAAGACGTCAACTCAGCAGTCAAACACATCCATCAGTGCAGGGGTGGCGAACGTCGGTCCTGGAGAGCCGCAGCCCTGCAGAGTTTTGCTTCAACCCTAATCAAACACACCTGAACGCACTAATCAAGGTCTGAACAGTTACTAGGAAGCTACAGGCAGGTGAGTTTTAATTAGGGTTGGAGCTGAACTCTGCAGGGCTGCGGCTCTCCAGGACCGGAGTTCGCCACCCCTGATCTAGTGTATGTTTACATAGAAAATGCAGTGCAATGGAATGGGAAACCGTGAAAGAAAAGTAACACTGTATTTGGCCTAGAAGCATTCGGGTGATGTTAAACTGTGGCTATGCTCACCAGTGTCAAAGTTGAGCACTCGCGCAGCTTCTCCTTCCACAGTCACGGCGACGTTGTCTTCTTCGATGTAAGCGGCGCTGACGCGTCTGTACGACAGCATGATCTCGAACAGCTTGCGGCTGCACTGCATGTGGTGCTGGGTGAGTTCACTCAGACGAGGCTCGATGTCTGTTTTATACGCGTTGAACGACTGGTGGAAGATGTTCCTCATGATCTGCGTGAAAAGAGAGGAGGGTTCAGTCTCTCACCCTACAAGCTCATCGGGGTCTTTTCAAGCACATTATTACATACTCCCTCCACACACACACACACACACACACACACACACACACACACATATATATAGTGACTGTAACCAGGTAACAGCATGTGTCTGTGAATTACATTTCCTGTTACAGCTGTGTTTCTTTCTTTAGCTCTTTATTGTTTTCTTCATCAACCACGTTTCTGTGCTATTTTTCCTCTTTTCTTGTATGTGTTTCTTCATTATTTCTACTTATTCATTAATCAAACTCTCCAAGTAAGGCAAGATTAAATTTTTGAGACAATATAAACAATCACACAACCAAGATTTGCTATATAGTATATTGTTTTATGTGAGTGTACTGCATGTATGCAGGTAAAGTAGACTGTATATATCCAACTTTTAATTTATCGCTGAGTGCTAATATAACTATTTTGTTCAACTTTTTACCACTATTTTGCATTAAACATTGTTTCACCATTGAAACACCAACTGACATTATTTCGACTACATTTCAATTTTGAAAGTCGATTATGTACTGGCCGGAGAGGGCTAGCAGAATTTTGAAAAGAGTGCATAAACTTTAAACGCGATTGAGTTCATGAGCCTAACAGATGCATGCTGGGATTGAGACGTCTTACTGAAGAGTTAGCTGTGTGGCGCAGGAAATGCATCATTTTGGAGTCTGCATCCGAAGTGCAGGCCAGAGCCATGCAGCGGTTCCGGAACGTCCCGTAGATCTTCAGATGGAATCCGGGCTTCGCTGCCGGCTGAGAGGAGCTGCGTGATTCCTTCACAGTGTCGATCCCGTACGCCGACAGATCAAAATACAAACTATGTGCACGGATCTCTGGTGTGGGAACCTAGAAAACAGAAAAAGATTAAATTATTATTTTCTTGCTTATGTATGAAGAACATTTCGCTACATCTGGACCAGTATTCCATGAAAAGTAAATGAAAAATAAGTAAACACACACACACACACACACACACATATACAGTATATATATATACACAGTGGTAAACATGGCCTTGTCCCAACTTTTTTGAGATGTGTTGATGCCATGAAATTTAAAATCAACTTATTTTTCCCTTAAAATTATAAATTTTCTCAGTTTAAACATTTGATATGTCATCTATGTTGTATTCTGAATAAAATATTGAAATTTGAAACTTCCACATTGCATTCTGTTTTTATTCACAATTTGTACAGTGTCCCAACTTTTTTGGAATTGGGTTTGTATGTGTGTATATATATATACACACACTTTTTATATTTTATACATGTACTTATTTGTAAGTCGTCCTTGCATATTTAAATATTTGTTACATTGACCATTTAACTATGATTGGCAAAATAATTATTGTAGAGAAAAAAAAAGCTGAATTGCCTCTTCTATTCCCCATCTGGGACCAAATTGGTGATCTTTTACGCCTGATGGAATGAAGACAGGAAATTTAATTGGACTAAAGATATTTCTAATGGGGGGCAAAATCTCCGAGCAGGCACTAATTTCTGAAACAATTCACACAATCCAGCCAGGTCATGTTTTGGCATTTAAGGGTTTTTCATTTGTCTCCTGTCTAAACAGATATACACGGACTACTGAATATTCCTAAATGAAAGCAAGATTCTATTTTGAAATATGTATGTAATTTTTTAATGAAATCAATGAAAACATGCAATGTGAAGACGGAATTTCTTAACGGTACAGCAGCAAAAATCCCACCCATCATTTCAGCGTCTACATCAACATGGTTGAAATCACTGTTGAATCTTTTTTTCGATTTTGCAGAGTTTGTTGACTTTTCAGCAGCTCTTGTTCAAATTTTAAGGTTGATTTAGAAGTATTTTGCTAACCTTTTTACAACCATTAAACATTGTTTCAACGTTCTTTCCACATTGAAACAACATCCAACATTACGTAAACCACATTTAAATGTTAAAGGAACATCACATGTCTGCTAGGATGGCCTGTTTAATTCTAAAACCCAAAATATACAAAAAAAATGTACATGTACGCTAGTGTACAGTCGAATGCTTAGCTTTTTAAAGTATACTTCATTTGATAGCATGTGCGACACAAGCGCACTAGGACGTTTCATAGTAGTTAAGTGTCTGCGCTATTTCTCTCCAAAAAGTTATGAGCAATCTCAAAATATGAGAAGATATTTTGAAGAATGGTGGTAACCAAACAATTTCTGGTTCCCATTGACTTCCATTATATATTTTTGACCAAACAATGGGAGTCAATGGAAACCGAAACTGGTTACCAATATTCTTCAAAATATTTTCTTTCGTATTCAACAGAAGAAAGTTATAGAGGTTTGGAACAACACAAGGGTGAGTTAAAGATCGCAAAATGTAAATTTTGGGGTGAACTGTCCCTTTAAAGCTCACAGAGAGAGTGAAAACTGGTACTTGTCGTCACAAATCCTCAATATTCAGAGCCAAGTTTCAGTTGCACTATTAGACTAAAACCCTGCTTATCTCTGAACCTTATCAAGGTTGCTAAAGCTTGTTTGATGAATTACTGTATACATAACACAGACTAACAAAACAGCCTGTCAGGGATGCTAGCTGACCTTGGTTATCTGCGGTAGCGAAACCCTCTATACCATCTGCTCAAACAAAAAGCCCATTAACTAAAGAGATAGAGAAAAATCAATTATACAAACTGTCATTCTAAACCTGTGTAAAAACAATCAAATTACAGGCAGAATCTGATCCTCATAAGATGTGCTAATGATGGAGGCTGCAGCTTCTCTCCGCCTCACCTGCATCATCAGTGTTTATTGCTGGCAGAAATAGACTCTATTATTATTCATAATGGCTTAATTTCCTCACCCATATTCATAAAATTAATCAGCCCAGTAGGACCCTGATGACCTCGTGACCACAGAGCGCTCGGACGAACACTCTTTTCATAATCAAGGGTTAGGACAAGAACACAAATGAGAGATTTCTGAGAATAATAGAATGGGAAGAGTTAAAAGGGTTGCTACTGAGATGTAATGGTGTGATATGGTACAATGATTTAAGGAGAAAGAAAGAAAATGCATATGCACTGTAAAGGGCCATTCACAAAAAGTGAGACGCAGTGCTCAGGAAGGTTTTTTTTTAAAAAGTGCAGCACAGAATGCCTCTTCCGCCATGTTGCCATAAAAAAAACATTTGCCATGCCAACTTGCTACTGTAAACAAAAGCTTGCAATGCTTGCTCCGCCTCCGGGGTCTTCTGATTGGTCTGCGTGTAAAAGTTGAAAGTCTTTTAACTTGACACGGCATCTTAAAAAAACGTGGTGCTCGTGCGAGACACTGCAAAAGACCTGAGACGCGAGCGCAACGGTCAGACATGTCTGTCTAGCACGTTTACATAGAAAAGCAATGGAAAAGTAGCACATTGGAATGGAAATATGCATTCTGTGTGAACGGCAAAAACAATTTTGTCAAATAACATTAAATTAATTTCAGTAGTTTCATTTATGGCAAACATTGTGTTTAATATATTTGAATGTATGCTGAGGTTACAGAACTAAACTTTTTTAATTTAATTTTAGAGTCATTTTTAATTTTCAAACAAGTTAGCTTCTTAAGGCAACAACTACCTGTATTCACTTTTACAGTGTACAGAATATAGAAAAAAAGTATTTGGCTTTTTTATTCAATTAAATATTACATTGATTTTTATTTAATATAACCTTGAAAAAGACGCGTGCTTAATTGTACTGAATGTGCACTTGAGGTGTTTCAAATGTTAAAAGTATTTTTTTTTTCAACTGTACTTGCAGATAATATGATATTAATAAAAGTCCCCTTGAGTGTGCACTTATCAGCTTGTCAAGCTACTAATAGACATGTAGCAACAAAGCAACGAAACTCCAATTTCAATTTCATGGGCCTTCTGAAAAAACTTTTTAAAAACTTGCATATAAGCATGTATGTAACTCACCTGTCTCTGGTCCGGTCTTTCTATAGTAGCATTGGCACCATAAGTGCGACATGATTCCACGATGTAATCAGCGCTGATGCCCAGCACCGAGCAGGAGTCTCCACAAGAACCGTCAGCAACTACAATCACCCGCGGCCATTCACCCCTCGGCATCTTCCTCAGGTACTCCTCACTAAACTACAGGATCACAGAGAAGTGTAAGAGAAAACATTTAGGCTAGCAATACGGTTATTTTCCTGAATCAAAAACATTCAGTGCAACCAGTGAGTTAAGTAAGATTCCCAATCAAATTATTCTTATGAGCGGGCTCTTTTAAGGGAATCAAAAACATGCAGCACGGTCAGTCCAGTCTGATTCCCAAACTAATGATTCTGAAGCAGTCATTTTTAGTGATTCAAAAACACACAAGTGGAGTCTGATTCTCGAATGTATGACTCTTTGAGTCAGTTCCTTTTAGTGAATCAAAAACTGACAGCGCAACCAATTTTTAAGGATTCTTCTGAACCAGTTCTTTCAGATGAAAGTACCCAGTCTATTCAGTTTTCTGAACAAATGGCTCTTGGGAGTCTGTTGTTTTAAATAAAACAAAACCATTCTATGTGCACACTGTACTTGATTCTTGAACAAATGACTCTTATGAACCAGTTCTTTGAAGTGAATCAAAACATACAGTGAGTACAGTAGTCAGATTTCTGCACAAATGGAGTGGTTACAGTGTGGTCTGATTCCTGAATGAATGACTCAAAACCAGTTCTTTTTAGTGAATCAAAACATACAGTGTCAAATAGTCAGATTTCCGAACAAATTACTCATGAGACATTATTTTCAGTGGTTCATATACACACAGTGCATCCAGTGGAGTCTGCTTTCCGAATGTATGGCTCTTTGAGACTGCTCTTTGTAGAGAATCAAAAACTTAATACAAAGGAAAAACACCAACCAATAACTCTTTTGAACTAGTTCTTTCAAGTCATTCATTAAAACAAACAGAGATGGTTGTTTTAAACGAAACAACAACATTCAACAGGCAGTTCTACTTAAGTTCTACTTTGTTCTAGTTCTTTTAAGTAAGCACGGTCAGAACAGTCTGATTCCCTAAACATGACTCTGAACCAGTCCTTTTTAGTGAATCAAAACATACAGTGCATCCAATAGTCTGATTTCCAAATGAATGACTAAATTAAAATCAAATTAAACTAAATTAAATCAAAACAATCAACATACACAGTCCAATTATTGAACAAATGACCATTATGAATCAAAAAGCATAATGTATATAAAATACATGTTTTGTGTTTTTCATTGTTTAGTACTAAAACATCAGTAGGACCAAGTATTGGATTGGATTTATGTCTTTATGTCTTTATGCCATTAAGCCAGCACACTTCTCAACAACAAACCATGTTTAAAAAGGTCTTAAAAGTATCCATCATTCATTTGCATTGACAGCGACAAGTAAAGACTCTTATTTATCACTGATAGTGTGTGCTCCTCCGAGCAGAAGGACATTTTCCTTAAACCAGACTGACAGCTTGTCACCCAGAATAGCTCTAAATGAAATGAAACTCAAGTCTGGTTTGGTTTATTGGACGTGAGTGTCTAGATACATCAGAGACCTGGCATAAATAGACAGGCCTGAGAGTCCTAGGCCAGAGAAAACCATTTACACAAACTGAAACAATTACCTCACATTACACGACTGTGTCTGACATACAGGACAGAATATACTGTATAATGCCTAATATTAAAAAAACAATTGTATGTGACATGGTACTAATATGCAACAATACTGTAAGCATGTCAAAAGTATGCTAAATGCTTTTGTATGTTTGAAAGGCATTTAGTATAATTTTGGAAATAAATGTAGATATTTTGTACTTTTAATTATATATAATGTAAAAATAAAATAAAAGTCTCTTTAAGCCAGATCTTTTGAGTAAATAAAAAAAACACACACAATGTGAATAATACAGTCCGATTTGTGAATGAATGACTCTAATGAGTCGGTTCTTTCAGGTGAATTAAAAACAAACAGTTCAGCCAGTCTACTCCTGAACAATTGGTTCTAAAGAGTCGGTTGTTATAAATGAAACAAAAGCACAGTGTAGTCTGATTATGAACAAATGACTCTTGAGCAGGTTCTTTTAAATTAATCCAAAACATACAGCATGGCCAGTGTGGTTCAATTCCTGAACGAATTACTCTAAACCATTTTTCTTTTAGTGAATCAAAATATAAAAATATAAAATGTGTTCAGCAGTCAGATTGCCAAATAAATGACTCTTATGATTAAAATAAATAAATGAATGAATAAATTATATATATATATATACACACTTGTTTTAAAATAAAATTATACAATTTTAAAAAGTAATTACACAAACTGGAACGCTTACCTCACAGTACATGACTGCGTCTGACATACTGCACAGAATATACTGTATAATGCCTAATATTAAAAAATAGTACATGAAATGGTACAAAATATGCAACAATAAGCATGTCAAAAGTATGTTACATGGTCATCATGTTTTATATATGAAAGGCATTCAGTATAGTAAGTAGTTATTTTGTACTTTTGTTTATATTTAATGTAAAAAAATATATTAAAAAAAATAAAATAAAATGTGTCTCTTTAAGCTGGATCTTTTGAGGAAATTGAAAGACTCTTATGAGTTGGTTCTTTCAGGTGAATTAAAAACAGTTTAGCCAGTCTACACGGATTCCTGAACAATTGGTTCTAAAGAGTCGGTTGTTTTAAATGAAATAAAAGCACAGTGTAGTCTGATTCTTGAACAAATGACTCTTGAGCAGATTATTTTAAGTGAATCAAAAACATAGAGCACGGCCAGTATGGTTCAACTCCTGAACAAATGACTCTAAACCAGTTATTTTTAGTGAATCAAAACATACTGCGCATCCAGCAGTCAGATTGCTGAACAAATTACTCTTATGATAAATTAAACAAAAAGATAAAAATAATAAAAGTAGTATACTACATGCTCATCATGTTGTATAATTGGGAATAATATATATATATATATATATATATATACACACACACACATATGGAAATAGGTTGTTTTGTGCTTTTAATTATATTTGATGTAATAAAATCAGTTAAAACCGTAGAAAGTTAAGAGGATTTAAATTGGTATAAAATCTAGTGGAGACTTCCTGGTGAATTTATTTTCACCAAAACATGCTGTAAAAGTAAGGTGGAGTGCAGTGTATTAATGTGTGCACTTTTGTCAAATGTATGTCACTGCATAATGCTTGTGAAATAATATAGAATAGTATGCTACAATGCTACTCTGAACTTAGTCCATGAACACTTAAGTATCTCATGTTGCAGAATAAATATCAAAAGGTATTGATTTCCAAAAAAAAAAAAAAATCTTTGGTTCAGTGGCAGATTGCTTGGCCCTCAGAAGAACACGGCCAAGATAAGATGCCCAAAGTGTCCCAAACAAATGCTTGTCTAGACTGAAAATAAATCCTTCTCAGCATGCAGCAACCCACAAAAGAAAGAGCACTTTTATAACAAACAATAAAATACTGCTGGCCTTCACAAAGACCAAAATAAGAGCGAAAGAGCCAGAGAGAGAGAGATCTTCAATGGTTAGCTGTCTGTAGCTTTCTGAATGCCTTCTCACTGCACCTGTTTAACATAATCACCTGTTCATTATATGACAGACATCAGTCAGTTAGTTTGTTGGCACTAAATGTGTATTTAATGAAACAGTTTGAAAACTGCCATCACAGTAATTTCCTGTATATCAGAGCCATCTGTCAGACCAGCTCAAAATGCTTTCTCATGGTGATAGAAATTAATTGGTGCTTGTATTTTTTATTCCTGAGGCAATTGCTGCTCTACATTAAAAATTTTTTTTAATTTTCAATCTTTAGAGAAGTGAAAGGAGCCATACCTGTGAGCAGAAAACACGTGTCCAGGAAACAGATTTTAATTGCTGTAGGTCATTTTTCTGCAAACGGACAGCAGCTTTATTGAGCGCCTTGGCTGTGACTCTGTCTGCTGAGTTAACACTGACTGAACTGTAAGGACAGTGTCTCTGCTCAGCAAATCTATTGGAAGAAGCACTTCAATTATATTTCGTGGTTTCTAAAGCCAGTGGCATCATGCACCGTTGCCTTCTTTTTTTATGATAAACATGGTAAATTCACTATTTTAAATATGCTTAAAAGTTTTTAGTTTTTTTTACAAATAGAAATAATTTCTACACTTTTTTCTCAGTGTTGTACCATTTGACAACTTTAAATATAATTGCCTTGTCATAAAAAGGTCAAATTATTTTATATTTTTAAGACACTGGCTTTGACACACAGGATCTACGGTGGTCCTGTGCTGGTCTTAACCGCACAATAGTTGGTGCAAGTTGGTTATTAACTGGCCAAAGCTGATTAATTGCTGATCCAGGCTGGTCAATAGATTGTTTAAGCTGGACATTAGCTGGTCATTGGCTAGTTTAAGCTGGCTATTATCTGGGCCAAACTGGTTATTAGTTGGTGTAAGTTGGTCATTAACTGAAATCAGTGTACAAATGCGCATATTTTTGTTTTCTAAGCCCACTGCAGTTTATTTCGGCTGCTGCTGCCGGTGTCACAATGGGTTTAAAGAGGCTAAGTGTTTTAAAAGAACTTCGGATTTTAAAGGGGTCATATGATGCGATTAAAATTTTTCCTTTCTCTTTGGAGTGTTACAAGCTCTTGGTGCATAAAGAAGATCTGTAAAGTTGCAAAGACTAAAGTCTCAAATCCAAAGAGATATTCATTATAAAAGTTAAGAGTCAGCCACACCTACCTAAAACGGCTCGTTCTAACTCGCCCCCACATGTCTACATCACTATGTGGGAAGATTTGCATAACACCGCCCAAATGTTCACGCAAAGAAAGAAGGCGTAACTTTTATTCTCGCTGTAGTATTGTTGCAGCCGCCGCCATGTCCTGTGTGAAGGCACTGTGATTCGGTGTGAAAGCGAATCTACTTTGTTTGGTCTTCCAAAAGAGGACGATATCTGCTTCATCATGCCTGGAGCTGATCCGTGCTGGTCGCTGAGGAAATACTACAACTTTGCGCTGTCGATCGCCGGATCGGCTTTCACCGTGGATGAAGCGGAGTCCAGCCCGGAGTCGTCACATGTCCTTCCGGACGCTCC